TGAAACAAAAAACGATATGTTGACTTTAAATGAAGCCTGTACAAATGCAGATATCCTGCTTCTAACAACTAAACAAAGAATTTTAAGAAATAAAGTAGGCTATTCGGTCATTTGCAATCTGTCTATGTTCATAACATTAAAACATTGAGAGAAACATAAGCAATGTTGCTGAAGTAAAAAGGGTCATTCATGAAGTGCCGACTTGGTTGTTTGTATTCCTAGGCAAGGGTGTAGACGCTTTCGTAATATTTCCGTACGTGTGTTTAAAACAATTCCAAACAAACATCCAAGGGTGTTTACCCATGGCATGGGGGTTTTCGCGCTGACTATCATGCCGCAATTATTCTAAATTTAAAAGGGGGCGGTCGGGTAGCCTAGTGGTCAAAGCGTTGGCTCGTCACGCCGAAGACCCGGGTTCGATTCCCGCCATGGGTACAATGTGTGAAGCCCATTTCTGGTGTCCCCCGCCGTGTTATTGCTGGAATATTGCTAAAAGCGGCGTAAAACCATACTCACTCTAAATTTAAAAGGACAGCCTCATGGAAATCATTTCAAAGAGGCTGCCTCCACTGATGTGACGTACACGTGTTTCACTCTCTTCTGTTCTTTTACCATCCATCACTCGTCCATCCATCCACACATCATCTGTTCATCTATATCCATCTGTCCATCAATCACCCCTACTACACAAATCCATTGTTCATCAAGTGAGTTCGGTTTAACGTGGCTTTGAACAGTAATCCAGTCATATCACAACGCGTCAAGTCAATGTGGAGGTCTGAGAAGTCTACCACTTTGGTGAAACCCATGAGCACGGGTATGGTGCTGACAAACCTAGAAACATAATCGGGGAGAACCGGGATTCTAACCCACAATCATGGGTTTCTGGCAATCCCATAGGACGCAACTCTGAAAAGCGAATTGCGGCGCTGGGCCACCCGTGCTCCCTCCTCATCAAGACATCTATCATTAATCATCTGATGTCTGTATACCCATCATCTATCTGTCCGTCTTTCCAAACATCTCTGTGTACGTACATACCTCCATTGATGGCAAGATTGGTGGAATGATGGATCCCCATCTAAGTCAACTCTCATGCCAAGCTTGCGATACAAGGAACCTATGCTATCTCGATATATCCACAAAGCAGGCGATGAATGTCGCCACAATATCGATAATATCGATAAATAGAAACATACTTGAGTTGCGACCACATTAAGAAAAGACAATAATATTGAGACAGATGCTGTTGACCAGACACATAACCTGTTCTGGACAGAGAAGAGGACAAGGGCGGGAGGCAGTGGAGCAGCAAAGACTTCAACTAAGGCACAAAGCCATCTTAGTGCTACAGTGACTGAAACCCCGTGTGAGCATGCTTTATACAGCTGGTCCCAAGTTGTTGAGGATGAAAGATGGAAAGTGTCCTGTTACTTTAGATGCCCTATTTCCATAAGCTGTCCTCATTCATATGCTGCTGGTATTACATTTGCTGCACATGTTTTACTTGATGCATGTAGTGCACTTGCAGACCTGATGCACCTATTCCTGGACTTGACATTGAAGTTATTGCATCGTCAAGTTGATATCATCCTTCTGTCACGTAACACACAAGCGGCATATAAATAAAGATTGAGGGACCGCCCATTTGGTAGTTGGGGGATGCTGTCATTTTGTATGAAGACTACATATATTTTAAGCTAAAGCTGAAAAAACACGTATTTAATTAGGATTGTCAGCCTTAATATTTTATCAAAAGAGCCCCTTGCAACAAAGTACTTATTATGACTGAAAATATCAACAGGTTGGAGTATAAATAAGTTATGAAGCATTTTCGCTGCTCTATTGATGTCAATGAGATTTTGATTTTGAACAATTTCCCTCCCTGCATCTAAGCTTATATTTGCTGCACATGGTGTGTGCAAAAGAACATGCATGTCAAAGGGATGGGTGGGAACCTCCACTTGGTTCAATGGTTGTACTTTTGGACGACATTCTTTTAATTCTTACAAGTTTTTTAACGTCGTGGCTCATGGGAAACCCGCAGCCTGATTATGTTACAGAGTGTTCGGCAAGTAATCAAAGGTTTCAAGTACCCACAACCACCTTGTATAACCGTTATCAATGGGTGGTTCCGCCAAGTGCTGTAAAACCACACTTGGTTTACATAAAGACAATATTATGTTTCGTAAGTAAATTTCACAACAGCTGTGTATAATTCCATCAGAAATACAGACGCGATTTTTCGTGTAGATTAAATTCTTTTCTCACTGAAGGTCCGGTGATAGTATATTTTTGTCACTGTGTAAGATCGAATTTAACAATGAACATTTCAGAATAATCAAGTGAATGGGATTCTGATCCGGGTTATAATAGATCTATAGATCTGGGCACTCTATTTTTCTAAACAAGGTTGCCTTGTCAGACTCCGTTTGTTTGTTTGTTTGTTGTTTAACGCCGCACTCAGCAGTTTTTGACGGCGGTCTGTAAATAATCGAGTCTGGAACCGAAAACCCAGTGATTGATATTATGAGCGTCGATTCACGCAATTGTGATACGATGACATGTATCAACCATCTCTGACCACCCGCTCCCATTAGTCGCCTCTTACGACAAGCATAGTCGCCTTTTACGGCAAGCATGGGTTGCTGAAGACCTATTCTACCCCGGATCTTCACAGGTAGTCAGACTCGGTGACTTGTCGGGCTGCGGATGATACGACAGGGTGGAATGTTGTTCATAACATCAACCACTGGTTTTGTCTCGCCCAGACTCGATTCTTTACATGCCAATACTTAGATGGAATATACTCGTATATTGCTACAGAACAACAAACAAAACATTTTGACCCAAGTAATATTGAATATTTGTTATTGTATTATTTTCATATACATGTTTGGTATTGTCGGTGACTGTTCGTGGGTTTCACCAAAGTGGTAATCATCTGAGACCTGCATAACTTCGGGCATTCCTCTTTCATTAAGCTCACACGTCGTGATATACCTGGAATAATGCGGCGTTAAACCCAACTCACTCACTCACTATTGTCGGTGAGACTGTTCCTCTAATGGGCCACTAATGAAACTTGATATTATCTTATCTATAAGCACACAAAACGAAACTGGAGAATATGCATAGTTTGCATACAATGAAATCGCAGACTATGCAAACCATTTGAGTAAGTCCCTTGACATTCCAACGTTTTTCATAATGAAAAATAATCGAAAACAGGAACGTTTATAGCCGATTAATTTTTCCTGTCGACATTAATGCAAAGTGACGTGCCCAGGCGGGTCAAATCAGTTATATAACAGATCCCTCCTGTGAAATCGACAACATGTTCTTTGATAGATGTCAGGACGCACGTGGCCTCCGACATTCCGCACATTAAAGAGTGGGAGTGGGCTGGTAAATAATGTGACCCACGTGGTCTTACAACGTCGCCATAGACGGCCACCTGTGACGTGACGTCATTACGTTCACTGACGGTGTTGACATAGCCAGAGACAAACGACGGCCCACGTGACCCAAGTTGGTGTGTACGTGTGAATATTGTGTTCTGTATTCCGTTCGATTTTTTTTATTTGATATGTGTATCAATTTGTTTACATATTCGCTTTAACAAATCACGTCTGTTCGAATTGACTATGAGTTAATATCAAGCACGTATGTATAATGTTGCGCACATAAACTAGAACAGACAGTTTTAATTCTTAGCTTGATTGTTAACAGACTGTTCTATTCTGTTAACGCTGTTCTGGTCTGCTAAGGCTGTTCTATTAAGGTGTGCTCGGTAATGTTTCAGGTGCATAAATGTCAATCGCCTTCACGAGTACAGTAACGATGTGTTCACCATGTATATTCACGTACACGAGCACTCAAAGACTGCTTTTTGTTCGCAAAAACGCTGACTCGCAATCAGCCAAATTTGGATGTTTCCAAAGTGCAGTGTGCTAAAACTACTCGAATGGATATTTAAATTAGGAGATGGACACCTACGTTCCTCTTATATAGAGTTTGCAGTAAGTCAGTTAATAGAGTTTCTGCAGATTGTTGTGTGTGGTGGGGCCCTCACCCCGAAGCTGGAATATTGCCGTGTTGGGCGTCAAACAACAAACAACAATCAGACTATTTGGTGTGGAATCAGGAGTGATCAAATGCGAGTATTAATACCCCTAATGCTTTGACGTTTTAATGCTGTTGTGTTGTTGATGTTGCTAGTGGTTTAGTTGACATTGTTGCAATTTGACTATTGATGCGATTGGTATTATGTCCGGTGTTTCTTAGGAAACATAATGTTTGTGGTGCATCTCATAAATACTCCGACGGGAAGGGAATAATACGTCATATTTCTTCAAAGGCTGGTACCAGACAAAATCTAAATGTATATGTACATTTTGGGGGATAAATGGCAATTTATGAGTTCTAGCAAATGCAGAGAGGTACTCCGTTGTAAAGTTTGCTTAAACCCTAAAAATAAGTCTCAATGAAAAACAAAAAAAACATTTGAACAAAGAAAAACATATTTGGCTGTTTTGTATGTTGTAGTTGAATAACAATGAAAGCGACAAAACCTTTTCAATAGTCACAAACCATTTCTTCTGAAAGCAGAGTCCATTATATAAGGCGCACTGAAAGCGGTGGGGTAGGCAATGCTCATCATTCGAAATATTCAATGACTTCCTTTGAAATGTTCGTATCCATATTTTTTCATGGTACCTAACGGTTTGACCTTTTTGTGCTTAAGCTGTTGCGAGTAGTATTTGTGATTTTAATAATTGGATTGCGATAATGGTGAACAATATGTTCACAATAGGGGCAAAGATAACGTTGCTGGAAACAGAAGGTAAAACGACATTGTTATTGATGTCGTTGGTCGTGACAATGAGTTTAACTGAGGAGATGTTTTTGGATGACGTTAAAGCATTCAATTATTGAAATTCTTCAAACAATTCTTTAGAATTGTCATTACTTAATAATAATAATCAGAAATGACCTACTTGAGCCTTTTCCGAACTGACTGCCATATGTAGCCTTGTGTGCCTCCAAGAACCCGAGCTCTTTGCAGACGACATCAGCATCCTTGAAGTCCCATTCTTTGTCACAGATGGCGCCCCAAGAATGTCTGTGATAAACGAGTACTGTCCCTTCATTACTTTCGTTGCCCCCGACAAGACGAACGTCGCCGCTCCTAAAGCGTGGCCCCCGTCGTCGACCCAAGGCAACACATATTGTCACCAGAAAACACACACAGGAAAATACACAGTTGTATATATTCATTTTCCTGTTGTTTCAGTCCAATCTCGGGTATTTACAGTAATGGCTAACAGACGACAGTACAGAAAGCAGACGACAGTGGAGTAGCAGACGACACGTTCACGCGCGTTCTTCAACCGAACTGAGCAGACGTTTGGCTTGAGTTGGGTAGGTCTCAATGAAAAAAATCTTTTCAATGAAAGTAATTACTATTTAGACACACCTCCGTTGCGTAAGCAGTTCTCTTGCCTGTTTTCATGATACGATGGTCCAGCTATTATCTCGGTTTGCTCGCCATGACATTCCTGCGACCAGTTTCCTCCCCTCACCACTCAGCAGCACACTAAATTTAGATGCCTTGCATTTGTGGTAGGCCCGCCTGCTCCCTCCGTAGTATGGGTAATACGAGAACGGATTTGCTAAGACATTCTTATACAAGAAAGTATCCAACGGTGCTCAACTGTGAGGGATGATAAACAGGTTTGTGGACCGAGACACCCAACCACGCCCTATCCTAGAAAATACATTGTTTTGAATGATGAATTCAATATTCAGAAAGGTCGGATATGGCTCTGTTTAAGACAGAATGTCGTAAAAATATAACGAGCCCCATTCATAGATTTATAGCGGAGTAGCTCAGCACCTAACTCACCAACCTACACTGGTAGTAGACTCTTGAACGGCTTTGGTATATATGCTGTTACACACATTATCGTTATCATGTTATCCCTTCTCACAGTGCACAGCTATATATCGATATATATCATAAACAGTGAATTCCATTTACTTCGGACGGTAGCGTTCGCGCTGAAATCATTCGGTTCAACCCAGTCTTATTCCCGCGCCACGACTGCGGAATATAAACATATATATATTCCACAGTCATTTTTATTTAATAGCCAAGGCAAGTCCAGATCAAACTATGAAAACAGCAGAAGCGGGAGAAAAATTAAAAAACATTAAATTTAAAGAAATGTGTATATGGACACGGTGTTAGCCTAGCCTATTCCTTGTAATGCAACTTTGTATACATATAAAAAATATTTAAAACAAAGCAGTAACTGTTCGGAAGATGGGGTGTACGGATTAACAGTGTCCGGATCTACCATGTTTTGAGGTACTTGATACCAATACTGATGTCTAGCCATGAGTGGTGTGATTTAGGTTACTGAATCTGTTACTCAACAGGTAAGGGTATGTGTTTACCATGTAAAGTGTGGCTTGTTTTTTGAAAAAGATATCATCATTCAAATAAAACAGATAAATAGTACAAATCGCTGTATGGCTGTAATATTGTCTTTAACTTTGACTCACACAAAAAAAAATCTTTCTAAAAAATCTTTCTACCTACCCTCTCTTAATCATAATTTTAAATATTAAATATCAATTGTGGATTAAAAGGCATATGCATATTGTTATTCAATAAATAATCAAATATACATGTAAACATAGGAAAAGACGTTGTGTAAAGATTTGCTGTTTCTTCTGTTTACTTCCACTCGCTTACACCTAATCCTCGCCTCAACAAAGCATTGCATGATAAAAAAAAACAACATCAAAGTGAAATCCCCCGTAAATAGATAACTTTTCACCCAGGACAAAACCGCACAGGTGACTAAGATTTCAGGTAGTGTTTTCCTTCAACAAATGTGGTGCCAGAAAAGAGGCTAGAAAGACAGGTGCAAATAATTGCATGAGATCATTACAGTTTTGGCTGGTGTAGAAAGGACTAATGTTTATTTGTATGTATAACAAAACGCGCATACAAAACCCAGGGGGCTAGAAGCTCGCCCTGCCTGACTCCGTCCACAGCTGTTTTTCATAACATCCCAGAATGCCACAAAAATACTTTATTTTCGTTTCTTATTAAAGACGCAATTCTCTGATAGAAAATATGCTAGGATGGTAAAAAATAAAATGGCGTGACTACAACCATCGTGTCATTGTCTTCATGAACTTCAACAATGTTAAACATTTCCGTTTCCAGGCAAAGTGCTGTGAACCACAGGCTGGCCTTCCTTGTTCCAGCAGTGTGAAGTGGTCGTCTCGGGGTAGAAAATAGTTTTCAAAGTGGGAATGTCTGTGTTTTCACCCCCGATCCTATAACGGTTCTCCTTCCAATGTCTGACGTCGCATTACATTGCCCTCGACTAAGCGTCTGAAAGATACATTTATTGTAAAGCAAATGTTACCTATTTATTCTTCATTTCAAGTGGTATTTACAAATTAATACAAATTTACCTAGCTCATTTTACATACGGATTAACGAATAAGCTGAAAATAAACGAATTTTAACGTCAGTAGATTATTTAAGGCGACACAATGTCATATGGAGACCTCGATGTTAAGACAATTTATCACAACGAGTTAACAGTAATGTCTATTTTGTCAAAGATTCATTCCTGTCATTTAGGTTCGCGAGGTGAATAAGGTTTGCTTTCCAGTTTATTGCACTTATTTATCAAAGTGAGTGAGTGAGTATGGTTTTACGCCGCTTTTAGCAATATTCCAGCAATATCACGGCAGGGGACACCAGAAATGGGCTTCACACATTGTACCCATGTCGGGAATCGAACCCGGGTCTTCGGCGTTGCGTGCCAACGCTCTAACTACTAGGCTACCCGACCGCCCCTACCAAAGTGCATGCAGGTATGTGTCGAGGGGTGATGTTTGGGGTGGTGCTTGTTCTAGTCCCATAGTCCCGACCAGTGCCGGTTTTATCAGCTTAATGCCGAGCGCAAAACAGTGTTAACAGCAAGTACAGTCTATTTAACGTCTTATTATGACACGGCTGGGGATCGAACTCCAGGGCCCACATTGCACAAAGCAATCTTAGCGCTAAGATGATCGTAACTCCAATACTTTAACATCGGCTTACAATAGTCGTAGCGCTAAAATCGCTTTGTGACAGTGGGCTCTGTCCCTCCACTCTCCGCGGAGGCGTTCTAACCACTAGACAACGAAGCGGTTCTTTCATTCTGAGTCAACTTGTATTGATGCAACATAAATTCTGATTGTTATTGACTATTAAACTTTATAAAAGCAGCGAGAGGCTTCAGATGGTGAAGGTACCACACATTGCCGTGCAGAGTTGCGTCCCTTAACTGCCAGGATCCGTTTGCCATGGGTTCGAACCACCGATTCTACCCATTAATCCATCTTGGTCTGTCAGCTCCATTCCCGCTTATGCGTTTCACCAAAGTGATTAACATCGACAGTGTTATGTTTGGGTTTGCTCTGACATGAAGAGAGTGAGTTCATTTAATGCCGCTTAAACAGTATTTCAGTTATATCACGTCGGAGAGCCCAACGTCATGCATGTCTTAGACGTTTACAGCGCTTAGAAAAACCAACGAGCACGGGTTGACAAACCTAGAAACATTATTAAAAATCTAGAAACATTATCAAGGAGAGTGTACGATTTAAACCCACGGACATAGGATTCTGACACGCCTAAGGGACGTAACTCTGCCAAGCTGTCTCTTACGTTTGGCTTTCACACGGTGGCTTAACTGAATTACTGTTAAAAGCGACATTATACTCGTACACTCACATGGATATAGGTTTCTGTTTGTCAACACCCACACCTCCTGGGTCAGCTATATTGAAGTTTCCTATCTGTCAGTGTGACCCTCTCAAAGACGCCACGGCGTATGTGCATTTGATATCCTCACTATCACCACTGTGCAGGGAGTTCAGAGATCTACTTCTGATTACACGTGGAACCGGCTCTTGGTGCATGTGAATGGAATCTGACTTACATGTATGTAGGTGCGAGGGCGTGGCATTGACAAACACACACACGTACGCACGTACGCACGCACGCACGCACGCACGCACGCACGCACGCACGCACAAACACCATCTTCCCGAGGCAAGGGCGTTCACTGGCCAAAAAGTCCAGTTTCCACTCTTGCTGAACTTGGCTGGAATTCAGGAGTTACATTTTGGCTGGACAAACGATATCTTTCAAATATGTTCATGTTTTTAATCCAAGTACATAAGTGATTTGATGCACCTCGCAAACGGGTGATCGAGCCTGGAAATTCCAGCTTAGTTTGGCAAGGATGTAAAACTGGACTTTTATTGTCCGTTAACACCCTTGCCCCTGGAAGATGCACACACACACACACACACACACACACACACACACACACACACACACACACACACACACACACACACACGCATACGCACACGCACGCACGCACGCACGCACGCACACACACACACACACAAACACACACACACACATGCTCTGCATATTCTGTACGTACACATACAGATGTGAGGTGTTGTCTACAGTAAACAACGTTTTGACGAACACGCTTATAACGAACTGGCGGATATATACGAACAGTTTTTGTGGTCCCGACCATTCGTTGTATATATGCTGTATATATGCTTATAACGAACTACGGTTATAACGAACTAAAATTTGTGGTCCCTTTGAGTTCGTTATAACCGTAGTTTACTGTATTTTGTTTCATCTGTAATGTTTATGTTAGGATACAAAGACATACTTATATTAATGTAATGGGGTGCTGGTTGATGTGTGATTGTAAATGTTTGCACAACTGGTGAAGAGATATGTGGGCGGGTGGTATTAAGTTTCCATTTAATTACCAGAATTTTCAGAAACATCATTCAAAACATATAATAAATGCACTTATGGGCCAAATTCCATTCATAAATTGAAAGCTCAGGGCGCTACATTATTAATATACCGGTCAATGGATCAGTGTACACTCGAATTTCATTCTCAGCTCCCTGGGGATCATACAACGCAACCTGTTGGTGAGGCTCTAGAAGGCTACTAGTCATGACAGAAGGAAGTAGTCTTAGGACACGCCTAAGATCATGCTGGTGTTAAGGCTGATTCGGACGTTCAACACAAACAGTAGAGCGGGAGTTTTGTTTGCTGGACCCGTGAATATCCGGGTTAGAATAGGTCTTCAGCAACCAATGCTTTCCGTGAAAGGTGACAATGCTTGTCGTTAGAGGCGACTAACGGGATCGGGTGGTCAGACTTGGTTGATGCATGTCATCGTATCCCAATTGTGCTCATGGTGTCAATCATTGGATTGCCTGGTCCAGACTCGATTATTAACAGACCGCCGTCATATAGCTGGAATATTGCCTAGTGCGGCGTTAAACAACAAACAAACAAAGCTTAACGCCGCACTGAGCTGTATTCTAACTATGTGACGACAGCCTGTAGACCAGACCATCCAGTGATTGGTATTATGGAAAACGATCCACGCCGCCGGGTACGATGACGCGCAATCAACCAAGTCCCTGAGCCGGACCACCGATCCAGATTGTCGCCTATAAGCAAATCTAGGTTGCTAGGATCAATGGGGCCAATTCTGACCTGGGTCCCCGAGGGGTCTCAATGCCTTGTACACGTA